GTTCAACTTTATAAGAAGTTGTCAAACCATTTATCAAAGTGGTTATACCATTTATGCTCTTACCAGCAATGTATGAAAATTCTGGTTGCTCCATTTTCACAGCAACATTTGGTGTTATCAGTCTGTTTTTAATTTTAACCATTCACATGTTTATGTTATTACATCTCATTGGATCTTAATAATATACATTTCTCTGATGTATAAGGATGCTGGGACTTTTTCATGAGAACTGGTCATTTGTATATCTTCCTTTGTGAAGTGTCTATATGATTTTTTTCTATATTCTAAATTGTTTCTTTTGTCTTTGTATTATTGAGTCATAGGAAGCACTTATATATTATGGATGTAATTCTTTTGGCAGATATGTGTTTTGCAAATATTTTCTGACAGTGTCTGGCTTGCCGATTCACTTGAAATAAATGGAAGGTAATTTGTAATGATGTCTTTTGATGAACAGATTTATTCTTTTAATAAAGTCTAATTTAAAAATTTTTATAGTTATCACTTTTTGTATCCTTTTTATTTTATTTTATTTTTAAATGTATTTTTATTGATTTCAGAGCGGAAGGGAGAGGGAGAGAGAGAGAAACATCAAAGATGAGAGAGAATTATTGATTGGCTGCCTCCTGCACGCCCCCTACTGGGATCAAGCCCACAACCCAGGCATATGCCCTTGACCAGAATCGAACCTGCGACCCTTCAGTCCGCAGGTTGATGCTCTATCTACTGAGCCAAGCCAGCTAGGGCCTTTGTATCCTTTTTTAAAAATCACTTTCTTCCCTGAGGTTGTGAATTTGTTTTCCTATGTCTTCTTTTAGAAGTTTTAGCTTTTAAATTTAGGTTTAATATTCATCTTGAATTAATTTTTGTGTTTGATGAAAAGTAGGGTAAGCTCTTTGTGTTGTAAGCCTAGAATTCTATTATTTTAAAGAAGACTTTTTCAGAAATATTTTTTTTTTAAATTAAATCTTTATTGTTCAGATTATTACATTTGTTCCTCTTTTTTTTCCCCCCATAACTCCCCTCCTCCCAGTTCCCGCCCCACCCTCCACCCTCACTCCCCACCCACTGTCCTCATCCATAGGTGCACTATTTTTGTCCAGTCTCTTCCCGCATCTCCCACACCCCTTTCCCCCATCTCCCACACCCCTTTCCCCCCCAGGAATAGTCAGTCCATTCCCTTTCTATGTCCCTGATTCTATTATAATCAACAGTTCATTCTGTTCATCAGATTATTTATTCACTTGATTCTTAGATTCACTTGTTGATAGATGCATATTTGTTGTTCATAATTTGTATCTTTACCTTTTTCTTCCTCTTCCTCTTCTTAAAGGATACCTTTCAGCATTTCATATAATCCTGGTTTGGTGGTGATGAACTCCTTTAGCTTTTCCTTATCTGTGAAGCTCTTTATCTGACCTTCAATTCTGAATGATAGCTTTGCTGGATAAAGTAATCTTGGTTGTAGGTTCTTGGTATTCATCACTTTGAATATTTCTTGCCACTCCCTTCTGGCCTGCAAAGTTTCTGTTGAGAAATCAGCTGACAGTCGTATGGGTATTCCCTTGTAGGTAACTGAGTTTCTTTCTCTTGCTGTTTTTAAGATTCTCTCTTTGTCTTTTGCTCTTGGCATTTTAATTATGATGTGTCTTGGTGTGGTCCTCTTTGGATTCCTTTTGTTTGGGGTTCTCCGCGCTTCTTGGACCTGTAAGTCCATTTCTTTCACCAGGTGGGGGAAGTTTTCTGTCATTATTTCTTCAAATAGGTTTTCAATATCTTGCTCTCTCTCATCTTCTGGCACCCCTATAATTCTGATGTTGGTACGCTTGAAGCTGTCCCAAAGGCTCCTTACACTATCCTCGCATTTTTGGATTCTTTTTTCAATTTGCTTTTCCGGTTGGGTGTTTTTTGCTTCCTCGCATTTTAAATCATTGACTTGATTCTTGCGCTCCTCTGGTCTGCTGTTGGGAGTCTGTATAATATTCGTTATTTCAGTCTGTGTATGCTTAATTTCTAGTTGGTTCCCCAATATAAGATCGAGGGTCTCATTAGTTTTCTTGTAGATCTCATTAAGTTTATCGGCGGCTTCTAAACAGTTCTTGAGAGACCTTAAAAGTGTGGTTCTGAACTCTATATCTTCCATTGACAATTTTGTCCTGTTTCTTTGTCTCCACATTTTGTTATGCTTCCTTGGTGCACCCCCTAGTGGTCTTTGTTCGAAGTCTTATAGTTAAATCTTGATTGTTGTAGCTAATTCCAGGGAGGGTTTGACCTCCAGGCCAAGTGGCTATGAGAATCAGCTGTGTCAGCAGTGAGAGAACTTCTGTCCTCTAGGGAGGTGCTAATCTAGCCTTTGCCTGAGGCTATCCGGCAAATGCCTGTGTGCAGGGCTTGGGCGGGGCGGGTCGAACAGGATCAACAGGGTGGGCCAGAGAGAGCAGTTATGGCGGCTCTCAGTCCTGTCCCCAGGGGCTCTGCCTCTCCGAGTCCCAGCACCCGCTGCAAAGCTCAGAGAGAAAGCTACACTCGCTCTGACCGAAGCCAGACAGTCCCGCCTCTCCCGCCTGAGTCTGGGATCTGGAGCTCAGAGTCTGCGACTCCCTCCCGATTGAAAACGCCAACCGCGCCCTCCGCCGCCAGCCCGCTCCGCGCACTCTGCACCTCAGAATTTGACTTCAGCACTGCGCCTCCTCTGAGTGTCCATATGCGTTTCTCTTTCCTCCTAGTTGTAGGACTTCCACTCAGCCAGCGTTCCTGTGGTTCTGGGTGATGTCCCTTCCGTTTTTTGGTTTCACTTTTGAAGTAGTTGTTCAAAGCAGCAAACTCCGGCGTTAACCTATGCCGCCATCTTGGTTCTCCCAGAAATATTTTTAAGTGTTTTTATTTTTATTTTATTTTATTTTATGTATCAAGATTCTTTAGGGTATTAAGTAACTCAAACAAGATTAAGCAAGCAGGAATTTATTTGTTCACTTTGCTGGGAACAATAAGATATCTCACAGGATCCAAGGAAGGTACACACAGGCCAGGACTTTAGGAATTAGACCTAGGATGGATATTCCAGAGCTCTCTCCTTTCTTCTCTCACATCTGCTTGTCTCGGAAGAGCCTCATTTTGCAGACTGCTTTCCTCTACTTGGGGCGGGAGATGACCGCTTTCAGCCTCAGATGCTCATCCATCATGTGTCTCTATAGCTGACCTAAGAAAGGCCCCCACTTGGTACTGCTTCAGTCCCATGCCCAATCCCTGGGCTGGTCACTGTTGCTAGGCGGCTCAGGACCTATGGGTGATCCACATTCTGGCAGTGGAGAATGCGACCAAGGGAAACAACATGGCACAAAAAAAGTGTTTCCCAAAGATAGGCTTCTGGACATGCCGAAATCGTATGTCCCACCAAGATTCACATCTTTAAAAATGTCTTTTTATGTATGGTATTTTTTATCTTTCATTGAACTGCTGAGTAAATATATTCAAGTACATGAAAGCTAGGTTTTTGTTTAGTTTATCTAAAACTAAGTGTGTATAATTAGATATTTTGAAGAACTATAATATGTTCAAATTATATGAGAATAATGGCACCTCCTAAAGATCAAAGTTTAATACATCAAAGTGCATGATAATGGGAATGATGCTGAATAAAGGGGAATTGCAGTCAGATTTTGCAGTTATTTTGACATGTCCCCACTTACCTTAAATTCTAATGAAAGAATTGTATTGTCAGTATTTCAATATAATAAACCAGTGGGAGATCAACTGTAGTTCAGTGATTAGGACAAGATTTATATACCTAGAGTGAAAAGTGATTTTCCAGAACTTATAAAAGAAGGCTGATGATGTTCAACCTGTAGGATTAATTGATAAAGAAGAAGTCCTTATTGGAAATCATTAAATACCTTACAGCTTGCATTTGAAGGAAAAAGTCTGAGAGTTTATTGTAGATGAATGACTATCTCAGCCACAGTTACCTACTTGTAAAGTATTTTCTTTGAAGTGTGGTTGAATAAAAAGCTGGCTCCATAGATAGCCTTGAAATGATAATGTAATCGACAACATATCTGATCTTCTGGGGTTGGGCTCATTAAAGGAATCTGACATTAAAAGTACTATTTAAGGAAGGCGGGGGTTGAGTGGTGGGTGGGGAGAGATTAATGAGGAACTTATGTGCATATATGCATAGCCATGGACACAGACATGATTAAAGCCTGGGAGGGGCCGATGCAGGGTGGAGGGGATCAATGGGAAAACATAAGGGGGGACATCTGTAATACTTTCAACAAATAAAGATAACTTTCCAAAAAAGTATTTCAGACAAGTTTTTTAAAATCTTTATTGTTGAGAATATTACAGATATCTCCTCCTTTTCCCCCCTTGCCTTCCACCCCTGGTTCCTGCCCTGCCCCAAGCCTTCACCACCCTATTGTCTGCATTTTTATCTCAGCTTAAAAATGTGACCGTGAGGGTACAGAGATGGAGAAATTCTGTAAGTGACAGGCCCGGCGGTTATTTCTCTACTGTGAGCAGAGGACCCAGCTGATCAGGTTCTCCCCACCTGAGCTGGACTGTCTTTCTCAGCTTTCCACTTGTTCAGCTTTGCAACCCTCCCTCCCCTTTTACACACTCCTCCCACTGTGTGCAAAAGCTCGCCTTCATTGCTGCCCTTGTTTCCCCATCCTTTGGGTATTATAATCCCATTACTCTTCAGATTTAGGTGTGGAAAACCTCTTTTCTTTGTTTCTTGAGACAGCTTTACAAAACAAAATTTTGAACTATGAGTAAGGGGATGGGAGGGACACACAAAAGCTGAAAAGTTGAGATGTTTATAAAATCAGGTTTCTGATCTTATTTTTAAGGGTCTAGTAATAGATTGGACTAATTAAAATAAAATAAGGGATATCCAACTCCTATCTCCTTTTCTCTGCTTCAAATCTGTTTTCTTTGTGATGCAATGACTGTTGCCCTCTTTGAGCTCTCAGCAAACTATTAGTTCTTCCTTAAAAGGAGATGACTTTTTTGCTCAGATACCCAAATTGGAATAATACAGAGAAGATTAGCATGGCCCCTATACAAGGATGACAGGCAAATTCATGAAGCACTTCATATTTTTATGTAATGTAGAGCATGGTGACTGTAGATAATAATACTGCATTGCATATTTAAAAGTAGCTAGGAAAGTAAATTTGATAGTTCTCATTTTTTCTTATGAGAATGGTGTATGGTGCCAAATTTTAACTGGACTTACTGTGATGATCATTTTGCAATACAGCCATGCACACATAATAACACTTTAGTCAAGAATGGATCTGATGGATGGTGGTCCCATCCTATCTAATAAAAGGGTAATATTCAAATTAACCATCACTCCGTCACAAAGATGGAGGCGCACATAGCCACAAGATGGCAGCACCCAGTCCTCTCAGCTCCTCCGGAGTCCCCCAGTCTGGGGGGGGGGGTGGCGGGGGGGCGGCCACTGAGAGTGGGCAGCCTGAGTGGCCTGGCAGAATGCTTGCTTCATCACCACGGCGATGAGGCAAGCATTTACTCTGGCCGCGGAGGGCCTCTGGGCAGCGGGCACGGAGTGGCCAGAGGAAGGGGGAGAGCAGCCCTGGCGATAAAGCAAGCATTCTGTGCCTGGCCATGGATGGGCCTCTGGGCTGTGGAGAGCCTCTGGGCAGTGGGTGTGGCCCCACAGAGAGCTACTGGTGCACGGATTTGTGCACAGGGCTACTAGTAAGATTATAATAGGACTGAGAAATTACTATTACAGTGGTGGCATCACCATCATAACATTATACCACAATGCATTACACACATGTTTGTGGTGATACTGGTGAGACACCTACTGTAATGCCAGTCATATAAAAGTACAGCACACATCATTATGCACGGTACATAATACTTGACAATGATAACAACTATGTTACTGGCTTCCGTATTTTCTATACTATACTTTTATCATTATTTTAGAGTGCACTCTCTACTAATTGCTGTAAAACAGTATGCTGTGTGGTGCTGGCAGTAGCCTCATACATCTTATGTTTCCCATTTTTCTTGATTGCTTCATTTTTTTCTTGTGCTTGGTTTCATCTTGTGTAGTTTTGTACAGTAACATGCTGTGCAGGTTTGTAATCTGGAAGCAATAGGCTATACCAGGAAGCCAGGTGTGAACGAGGCTCTACCATCTAGGTTTGTGTAAGTGTGCCCTATGATGTTCATGCAAACACAAAATCCCCGATGATTCATTTCTCAGAATGTATCCCTGTTGTTATTTGGTGAATAACTGCATATATAAGTGTGTAATCATTACGCTGTAGTGATTATACATTTGTATGTGTAATGTTATGTCAATTTTACCTCAATTTAAGAAAGAAAGAAAAAAGAGCTGATTTTCTCTTCTTTCCCCATTTCAAATGGTATTCTCTCTTAGGAAGTACATGAGTTTCTACTTTATATTAGTTCTTGGTTTGTTTATACAATTGAAGTAACAAACAGTACTCCTCTCCTTTTCCTATGTGATTGATGTGACTGTTTAGAGTTGCAGCATCTGGGAGTGTATTTAGGTTCTGCAGGAAAAAGAACTGTGATTAATTAACAATGTCTGACAGGAGCTTGCGGATCAGCAGTACTATCCCTGTGTCTACCGTTTCTCTCTGAATCCTATCAATGGTAAAGTGTTTGATTTGATTTTTGTTTCTACTCAGGTTGTCAGCATTGGGAACTCCAGTGGTTCTCTTTTCTCTCATAGTGATGTGGTGGTGGGGACCTATCAGTATATATTAAAATATTCTTCTCCTTCTTGAATGGAAATCTTCTTAAGAGGGAGAAGATCCTCCTTATAAAGTATGAGGCATTTTACATAGAACAAAAACAAAGTAAATGCATAAAAGAAGTTTTCTTTTAAATAACTAATCCCAGTAAGTCATTCTGATTTCTTACCAAATGAATATGAAAATATTGAAGCTTAAAATATAAAATGTGAATTGGCATTCCTGATTCATCCCGACATAGACATAATTTTCTATTCCCTGATGTTTTGGACAATGTAATTTCAAATGAATCAAGCAACAGGATATTTAGTGTTTCCTCAGGAAAATAACTGCACATTTATAAGAATTATTACTGTTAACGTTCCCCCAGGTGTGCTCTTCTCGTGACTGCTTGAAACTGTACTTTACTCAATTCCTCTGTTCTCTTCACGCTTAATCTCTTTAGGTTTAGGAAAAAAAGTTTATTTTTAGCTCAAATTATGAGTAAGGCTAGCATCACCAGTGAGACAGAAACTCAGTAGTTTCTGAATTTCAATTAGTTTTCATCTGCTAAAAGCTGAAAGGATTAGGTTAAGGTGGTAGAATTTGGACTGAAGTACTTTCATTGTTGTCTAATTATAAAATATTTAGGACTTTTTGCACTGTACTTTGGGAACCTTCAGGCTTCTGGGGTCAATTCTAGTAGGCCCCAAAGACTGACTAATGTATTTTTTCCTTCCTTCCTTCCTTCCTTCCTTCCTTCCTTCCTTCCTTCCTTCCTTCCTTCCTTCCTTCCTTCCTTCCTTCTTTCCCTCATTCACAATTATTCAGCAAACCTTTGTGTATTCAATATATCCTGGTTAGTTTGGGGGGTTCCAGGGAGCACTTATCGTCAATAAATTATGGTGTAGAAAACTGTAAAGTAATAAGCATATGGCCAGATGATAAAGATGATGTCCGTAATGATGATGTTCTCATGGAAAGGGAATGTCTAGGTAGGGGATAGCAGTGGCACTAGAGAAGCTTTTGTATAGGAGCTGAAGGATAAATAAAAAATCTGTGGTAAATGTATACAATGGAATGTTACTCGCCCATAAAAAGAATGAAATCTTACCATTTGCTACAGCAGGGCTAGACCTAGAGGATATTATGCTGAGTGAAATAAGCCAGTCAAAGACAAATACCATATGATTTCACTTATATGTGGAATCTAAAAATCAGAATAAACAGAAAAAATTTAAACAGACTCATAGATACAGAGACCAGAGTGATGATAGCAGGAGGGGAGAGGGATTGGAGGACCCAGTAAAAAATGTGAAGAGATTAAGAATTATAAATTCATAGTCACTAAATTGTCAGGGATGTAAAGCCCAGTATAGGGAATATAGTCAACAATATTACAATAACTATGTATGGTGCCAAGTGGGTACTTGAAATATCAGAGGGAACACTTTGTAAAGTATGATTGCCTACCTACTATGCTGTCCATCTGAAGCAATTACAAAATAATATTGAATGTAAAATGTAATTGAAAAATAAAATTAAAAAAGTAAATATAAAAGGAATGAACTTTAAGAAAAAAAAGTTAACCATGAAATCCTGCCAGTGAGAGCAACCAACCATGTGAGGCAGCCCAAGGTGCTTCAAGAAATACAGTTGCATCCTGAAAACAGATTTAAGCTCCTGGAACTGGTCTTGCAACTAAGACACTTTCCACCGGAGCCTCTGCAATATCAGACCTAGAGTGCTTATGCCCTGTAGGCACCGCGGTTTGATTCATTCTTCAAATGAAAAGGTGATATGGTCGAGAGTGAGGACAGAAAGTGAACTGTTCTTCACTTACCAGCTTTTTTTAGGTAGCAGTTACCTTACAACAAGCTTCTAAGACTTGGTTCTTTTAATTTTTTCTTATACATCTCTTTTGTAGATGCGCATTGCCATCATCTATTCTGGCTGCCATAACATAGGGCATATGGACTGGGTGGCATAAATGACAGGCACGTTTTTGCTTACAGTTCTGGAGGCTGGAGGTTTAGATTGAGGGGCCAGCAGGTCAGGCTCTGGTGAGGATCTTTGTGGCTTGCAGGGAGCACCTTTCCCCTGTGTGCTCACACAGCTGTCCCTTGGCGCCTGCCGGAGGAAAGGGAGCGGGGCAGAGAGAGAGAAAGCCAGATCAAGCCTGAAATTATTTGAATATTTAGAATATTAAGTTCTAAATTAGGTAAATAATTGTGGTTATTGAAGAAATGTCCTGGGAAATAATAAGAATAAATGTATACATTCATGGGTTTTGACTGTAATATACCACAATCAGATGTTTCCGTGACCATCGAGTGGCGAAGCTCTTTTATGTTGTTTACTTCCTCAAAGGATGTGGGATCTGCAGGAATATACATACATGTCTTCCAGTGGCCTGGAACTGAGTTTTGGAAAAATGAGAAAAGAATCTCAACAAATCTTTTGCCTTTTAAGAATTTTCTGCCTTAGGGAGAAAACACACACAGTGAATATATACTCACACCCACCACACACACACATACCCACATGTAAGGAGGCACATGTACACACATGTAAACATATGCATGCACATATGCACACATTATCTCATTCCTTCTTTATGTTTTGCTTTATGAACCATTGCCCATAGAGAGGATATATGCTAGCACTGAGATGTACAGGACAATAAAATGTACAAACCTGCCTGACAAGCCAGAATGTTAGCAACAGCTACAAGACAAAGTTGTATTTTTTTTTTTAAATAAGATAAATATTGACTTTTGTGAACAGTGCAATCACATTCATTTTACAAAGGAGTTAGGTTCTAATGTCAACAAAGGCAACAATTGGATCTGAACAGAATTACACTTGAAAGTTACATACATCTCTCACAAATTGCAGTATTTTATCAAACCTGCCAGTTTTATTTTTGTTTTCTCCCAGAGCGATAGAACAGATCACTGTTCTTTCTCTCAGCAGCTGGAGTAGTTTGTGTTGAAGGGCCTCGCCATGTGAAATCATGTGACCTCCGAAACTCCGGGGTCACACTTGCACAGTGACACACCCCACAGGGGCCCAGGGAACTGACACTGGCTGTAAGCACATGCCTCCCCCCCATGGGAGCATGTGTTCACTGAATGTAGTGGAGGCGTTAACGGTGAAACTGCTTATGCTTTAAGTTCTCTCTCTCCCTTCTCTTTCTATCTAGCTCCCTCCTTTTTTTTCACTTTCAATTTTATTTTGTGTTGATCTCAGGTGTACAGCTGAGCCAGCCGTGGGCAAACTACGGCCTGCGGGCCGGATCTGGCCCGTTTGAAATGAATAAAACTAAAAAAAAAAAAAGACCGTACCCTTTTATGTAATG